GAACATGTCTCTTTGTCCTCTCCTTAATTGAATATAATTATAATAATAACACTCTCTGGGCCTGTTGGAACAACTCAGCTCTTCCCTCTCTTTACCATTAATCATGTTTCCTCTTTTAGAGTCAGATATTATGTATGGTCAGATAATTAATGACAAAACTTCTAAGAGGGAAAATTGGGAGGAGGTACTTTTAAACTAAGAGGCACACCATCTCAGCATGATTAATAGGAGCCTTAAGAAACTACATTCATTTTGTACAAAATGCTACTGATGAAAATTGAAGCCCAAGATAACACCTAATAATTTCCTTTTACCCCTTCCTGTTAAATGCTATGCTGGTTACATTGAAAGAGACAAGATCCCTATGATGGTTAACTGATTAAAAACAACAACAACAACCCACAAAAAGGGAAATACCACCATCCATATCTTTCAATCAAATATCATAGCTTCATTCCAACATGTTTTTTAAGAGAGCAAATCTGAGTGTCTCAACTGAAAACCTTCATGGGATGATGACAATAGGCGAAAGCAAACTCGTGCAAAAACCATAATCATTAATGGAGAAAAAAAGAATGAGGACTGGCAAACTGAATGGAAAACCAAGTGTACTTTTGATAGTGATCTTGGGTTAAAGTGCTAAACAACCAAGTACTGACAGCTGTCATTGCACTGAGCCTCAAGTGTGATAATCAAGGTTGTAACTCTGGACTCCAGCCTCGGAGATTAAACATTTTACCTTGAATTTCTTATATTATTTGCTAATATGGTGCCTATGGTTCTGGGATAACTCTGGTAACTGCTCCCTACAGATTTTTTTTTCCAAATCAAATACACTGTACTAGAATCTCAATACTTCAAAATTTACAGGAAAATAAAATTGGTTTGAGAAGCAGAGGTTCGAGGTTCTGAGCTTTGTGTTAAATTCAAATTATCCTATCTATAATATTACTAAGGAATAATGTTATTCTTTGCATTCTTTGATTCTTGCACACTCAAAGGTCAGTAGGTAATTGTATAACATATATGTTTCCATAATGTTATCACAATTGTACAGCAAAAGCAATTACAGATTGAGATGTGTCAATCATCTACATTGAACATTTCTCAACCAACGTTATCAGTTAAAATTTCTAGTTCTCAAGGTAAATTTGAACCAAATTTTTTGTTTGAATCAATTTCGAGTAAGATGATAGTAAGTGACTGCATGGAAAGCAATGTCAAATCCAAGGGAAATCTGACCCCGGTTGTTCGAAAACCGATTAAATTATCCCTCGATCAGCGGTTAATCGACAATTAAATTTCTTATCCCAAAGATAGCTAATCTAGGTTTAAAACAACGTTCCTGAAAGCAGATTTATCCCTCGATTAACTATCCCATCATTAAGCTGAGATTAAACCAGTCAAACCGGTTATTAGGAGCTACGCGGCTAAGCGCGAACAAAAAAAAAATTGGAGGGAAAAAATGGCAGAAAGTGAGAGTGCACATGGAAATGGAAACGAAACGAAAGATAGAAAAAGAAAACAGAATTTTTCAGTTTATGAGATTGAAATCATCACCAATAATGTCAAAAAAAATCTGGACTTAATCCAGTCCAAGTTAACGAATGTTGTGACCAACAAAAAGAAACAAATGCTCTCGGAAGAAATAACCCAAGCGGTAACTGCTGTCGGAAGAGTGAAACGAACGGTTACGGAGCCATAGCATTGCCAAGAAAGAATTTGCAGAATTCAAGAGGGAGATCAAGTTAACTGGGGGTGGTCGGCCTCCAAAGTCACCGAGTGCTGCCAGCAGAGAGATAATTGAGGTGCTTGAGGACATGCCGGCGTTCAGTGGTTTGATTGGCTTTGAGACAGGTTTGTAAACAATTGTTTCTAGGTTTAATACCAAAAATTTTAAAATTGTAGACGGCCAACCGGCCATGTTGTTTCGGCGGGGTTTTCAGCTCATCAATCGCATTCTCGTCTTTGAGCGTACAAAATGTTCGGACACAAGGGAGGAAAAGATAAGTTTGCACATTCTTTTTTTTTAACCTACATCCATAACTGTATTAATCAAGTTTTACCTTATTTAGTTTATTATCCCAACACATTTCATGAGTTTACTTCACGAAACGGAGGCTGCTACGGAGAATTCCAAACCGGTTTGCTGCTTTTGCGGCATTTACAGGGTTGCATTCGATTAAACCCTGTTTAAGCTGACTCTAGACGAATGTTCCAAGACCGACTATTAGTAACTCTCTTGATTCACCCATTTATCAAAAATTGCATAGCTACGTCACTTTGCAAAGCGATCTGAGGAGTGAGACAAAAACCTTTGATTTCCAAGAATGTCTTGGATACAGTTTACAATTTGGTTAAAATTTGTTTTGTCAAAGACAAAGTGCTCCTATTTTTTCTTCATTAATCTTTTACTAAGGAGTGTTCTTCAATTATTTACGAACGGCTATTTATAAATAACTAGTTTTTATCATTTCGTCTTGACGCAACTTTGTTTAGGTTTGTAATTGATGAAACAATTTGTTGTTGTTCCTGTTATTATGTCCTACTTTTTCGGTCACTAAACTCTGGTTCCACTTTATCCATCTATAAGAAGCCTAACTTTTGGTACATGACTTTCAGATTTTGTAAGCATTTTTGCAAATGACTTCACTGAGTTAAGTCTACTTGTACACAAATTCATTGTATGAATTTGAATAATTTATTTTTGTACATGTTAAAGCTTAAGATTCCTTGTGGGAGAGATGCTCCTTCTGTTGTTTCATTATGTGATGCATAAAACTAAATTCACACTCTTTGAGCCTGAGTGAAACCTTAATTGTGCTTGAAATACTTTATAGGAGAAGTTGCTCATTTACCATCAGAGTCTGCAAAGATTGGGACTGAAGAAGACTGTTTAAGCATCACTGAAGATGTGCATTCTTCACCAGCCAAGGCTGATGAATGGAAGAGGCCTGCAAAAAGAATCAGTAATGATGATGTTCTAAAAAACAGTATGAATGCCTGTGTACTCAGAAGGAAACTTTCATTCTTAAAAAAACAGAAATTAAAAATTGCAAATTAATCTTTTGGAGCAACAGGTGAATGCCAACAAGACCTTCGGAACTGTATTAAATGCAAATTTTGTGGTTGCTGACACTGATTCATTAAATGAGGAATGATGATGATGAACTTTATTCATGTGTCAATTATAAAATAGTAGTAATAAAACCACTAAGTAAGGACACAACAAGATAATTTAGATAAAATAATAAATGACTTAAGTCCTCCAAAAGAATTATTTTCGGCAAATGTTCTTCTTGTAGAATTTATAATGAAAAGTAAACAATGTATTCTGTTCTTAAACAGGAAGGCGCGCTATATAAGGAAGTCTTCCCTGGGAAGACCTAGGCTCATTTGTCACTCTCTGTTGTCGTGTGCGGGTCAAATTTAAATGCTGGTAGACAAACAAAAGGAGATAATGAGATATCTATTGTTTACTTCCACCAGCATGGTGGCATGAGGTAATGTGCAAACCACCTACTTCGATCTCAAATTTACCGCCACAGATAAAGACAGTTTCCATTGGAGAAAGGAAATACAAATCTCAAAAATTCCTGTATTGTGATGAAGACGTAAAACAATTTTGAGGAATGCGCCCGCTGTTCACTGC